TTGAAAATGAGTATGTAATTTTTTTTTTTTTTTTTTTTTCAAATAATGGTTATCAAACATGGGGCTAAATAAGATAATAAACTTTAATGCATTCAAATGTTTTGGTAATTTTCATAAAAATTGCACGTGCTACGCACGTACATTAATACCCTTGAACAAGTAAATGTAAACAATACAATAAACTCCAAATCAATATTCATAGGAATTAGCATATATTATACCGAGACATTCTATTTATCGACTTATTTTTCAAAAAACAAAGGGGAGTACCAAATATCATAAAAATAACTATCCTTCATGGATTAACCTGCTCTGCAAAAAATGAGTTGCCCACCTGAGTGACTGACCCTCACATGAGTGTGGGTCCGACGTGGGACCCGCGTGGAATAAAAAATGGAAAAAAAAGCCCTCCTCCACCCATTGTGTGTGTCCTGTACACCCTCCCTGGCACTAAAGCACGGTTCATCCTTCATTCCCCCGTTGTCAACATCTATTGGCAAACAATCACCATTGGAAGCTTCCCTGATGCTTCATCTAATACCTTTATTCCACCTATTTTCTCATTTTTCCTCAACTCCACCGCATTCAATGGTTGCAATACCTAACTTGAATTATACACTCTATCCTCATTTCCAGTCGAACTAGTCTTTTCTTCCACAATCAACACTGGACGCACACCGCCATCCGTGCTTTAACTTCTAACGATGTGACTATTAATAATAACTTGTTAATATCACCACCAAGATGAACTAAATTCCCACCACTTCCAACACTACCATCACCAAAAGGAGTCACATTCTCCCCACCACTGGTCCCCGACACCTAGGGTTGGCAATTTTCCCTGCCCCGAATGGGGCAAAAAAACCCGCCTCGAACGGTTGGCAGGGGTGCCCCGCCCCGAAATCCACCCATCTTCATATGTTCCCCACTATTTTTCTTCTTCTCATCCCTTAATTTCAAAATTTTCTTTTCAACTTTTCTTCTCTCACTTACCTCTCAGTCCTTCCACCAAAACCCATTTCTCTACTTCAAAGGGTTTTGAGGGTACCCTATCTTTTTATTTATTTCCTTAAAGTTGAA